GAGATGCTTAGAAAATGTGGGAGAGTGCATGCATTATCAATTTAGTGGGTGATGGTGTGATGGTGTAGTTTGAGCTTATAGGAAGGTGTTCAATTTGTTTCTTCCTGTTTCAGGTTTCTATTGCACAAAAGTGAAAAGGAGTTGAATTTTTCACCAGCTGGGAGGTGTTATTCACCTGGGATTGGAAAATTCAGTGTGGATCCGTACTGAACTTTTCAAACAACCTAGTGTGGATATAAACTCAGATTTGGGAGTGTCACTTTTACAAAGCAGTGTCACTTCTCAGAATATGTGTTTATTTTCCTCTTCTAGCCTTCTGTTTTAAATCTCAGCCCCTTCTCTGAAGCTTGAAACCAGCTCACCTATTGCATGAGGGATGTGTGAATGTTGCATGTGCAGAGGAGGTGGTGGAGAGAACTCATGGAAGTCTCGTAATAAAATGTGTCACTCAGTATGTGCATGATATCAAGAAGATTGTGTGTCACTTGGCAGATCTTTGAGGGTAGGCAGCTCCGTCTGGATTAAGGAATATTTGGGGAAATATCTGTATGAAAACTGTGGCTCCAAGCCAGGCATGCCTGGGTTTTGGGGTTGCGAATGGAGGGTGTACACCTGGTCCCCGACAAGGCTGTCTCCATGTTATGGGAGCTCTGTGTGCAGGGCTTATATGTCTGTGTGTTTACCAGCGCTGTCCCTCCCCTTGTGTGATGTATGAATGAATGAATATTCACCAGGAAGCATGGGGAAGATGAAACTCATGTCTTCTGAATTCTTGCTTTTCATTCACATTTACAGCTAAGTGTTCTTAAAGGTACAGGACAGGTCTTGTTTGTCCATTAAAAAATGACTTCCACAATAATATTTTCTTTTATCTTGTGAAGTACCCTTCAATGCAGTGTATAAATCCACACTGGCCTCTCCAGGGAGTCTGATGTGCTGCCCACAAGGCCCGTGCAACTGTGGCTACACCACTGTAGCCTCAGTCTGCTTCCTCAGGAAGGAGCCAAGTAAGAAGGCTAGGGAGTAGACGGTGCCAGGCTGTTGCTTGAAGCACTGACACCTTGGATGAACCTGCAATTGTTGCATGTGTAGTTACCTTTGGAGTTGGCCCAAATGGTGCCAGAGCAGCTCCAGAGATGGGTTTAGGGAACCACCTACCTGGCATCATCCACTTTCCCTATCCTGCTGGAGTCTGGTGCATGATGTCTGCAAGGCCCTCGCTCTTGACCTACCGCCTCATCAGAGCAGTCTGGGGAGGAGGCCTTCTCTTCCTGGATCTTGCATAGTGTATGGTTGGGTGTGTCTTTGGTCTTTAACAAACCGTAGTTCAGAAACCTGTTGTTTAACTTATTTCATTCAATTACTGCTTCTTAAGTGCCTCCCAGATGGTAGATGCTGGATTCAGCAATGAACAAGGCACTCTTTTTGCCCTTCGTGTACTCCTATGGCAGTGGAGGTGCAACAAATGGATGGCAATTACAGGACAACGAGATGAGGAACAACAGAGCTCACCCAGGGACAAGGCAGCTTCCTCTGGTACAAGCTCTGTCTTGGAAAACAGGGAAGCTTCTTGGAGGAGGTGATGTTTGCAGATGAGATGGGGGATAGCTGGAATAAGGGGAGGGGGTGACAGATTGCTTTCCAGCAAGGAGGAATGAAATATTTAGTAAAAAAATAAAAATATAGTTGCTTCACATGTGAGACCTGATGTCAAATGGTACTAGTGTGTATGTGTGTGTGAGAGAGAGAGAAAGAGAGAGAGAGGAGAAAAGAGAAGAGAAGAAAGAGAGGAGAGAACAAGTGGAAAGATAAGCATGAGTGTGAGAGTACGAAAGAGAAACACAGGAAGCAAACAAGAGGCAGAGAGATGGAGAGACAGACACAGACATCTGGACAGAGAAAGGCTGTGAAAGGCTGGAGACACGGAGAGACGGCCATGGAGTCACGCATTGTTAGAGCTGGTGGGAACTATTGCAAATATCTACAAATCTCTCATTTAACAGGTAAACTGAAGCAAAGACAAGCTAAGGAATTCACCAGAGTCCCCAAGCTTGCTGACTTGGAATGTTGAGTCAGGAACCTGAATCTCCCTATTTGTCATAGTAGAGAGGGACAGAGAGGGAGGAAGAGGGAAAAAGAGGGAGAGGGAGAGAGAGAGAGAAAGAAAGAGAGAGAGGAAGAGAGAGCTGAGTCAGAGAAGGAAGGAAGGGAGCCAGGGAAAGGTACCGAGAGCTGAGATCCACAACCGGCTTGTCAGGATTATGATGTGGAGTTAGAACAGGGGAAGTTTAGCTGAAATGTGAGTTGAATGTTTTTCTTTTCCTATCTTCGCCTTTTTCTCTCCCTTTCTTTCCCCTTCTAACCACATCCTGCCTACAACTAGATGTCAGGGAACTGGTTGCCATGGCTACTAAATGGCACTCAAGCAGGCTGAATTATTAAACCAGGGTCTTTTCTTTGAAGTCACAGCCCCAATACAAAAGTCCCCAAGTCCTCTTACAGGGTACAGTGTGGGGCATAGGTCTGAGCTGGGTGGAAAGATGCTTCTGTGCTGCATGGCTAGTCACTTGGAGAAGAGGAGGTGTCTGGCTCTGGACCCTTTTCCATGTTGGTGATAGTGGAGGCCTGGGGTCAGGTGCATCTGCTGGAGCTAAGGGAGAAGGCCCTGTATGTTGAGATGAATTCCTGCTTCCAAGCCTTCTCCTCCTCCTCTGCCTAGACCATAACCAGCACTCATTCAAATGGGAAAAGAACCAAAACCAGTATTTTGCTAAGTTGGAAAGGATACCATATTGTTCAAATTGTTTAAATCCTTTAACTGGAGAGGCAAGAAAGAAGATGGCAGGTGTGTCCAAGGGATCATACTTGGCTACCTGGGATTGTGTCACCTCCACGAACAGGTAAAGGGTATCTCATGGAACCAGCTAGCTGGTGCACACAGCATTCTCCCAATAGTAGGAAAGGGCTATCAAGGAAAGTCCTGTTTGTGGGTGCGATTATTGCTTGTTTTGATGAAGGAGCGGGGTGAGCATGGATGCTCTTGTTTAAAGGACATTCCAAGCCAGGAAAACCATCAGCCTTCTGGTACCCTAGTCCTTTCAACCTTTTCATAAAAGAAAAAGCAGCTCAAACATTGTCCTGTGAGTGAAGAAGGGCCTTGTTGCTGGTAACCACATTATGTCTATGCACGTGTATGTTAGGGCAATGGTGGGGCATGAAGAGCACATTTTGGGATGAATGGAGTAATTTTCCTTCTCGCAGACCCCAAAAGATTCTGAGATTAATTTCCAACAGCTGGAAGATTTCTCACTTTCTGCCTTGGCTCCATAATGCTTGTCCCTTGATGTGGGGGCTGCTGATGCTGAAGGCCTGGGATTCTAACCTCCCCTTATACAGGGGTTCAAGGTCACTTCCACTAGAAGGGCTCCTGTGGCTTGTTATACTTGAACTCTTGTGCACACACGCATGCATGCATGCTTGTATGCACGCATGCATCTTCTAATAAGGGAAAGCAGACCTACAAGACTTTCCAGAAACCTGTCAGCCTCTGAAAAACTGATACGTAGTCCTGTTTTTTTCCCCTAAGGCCCAGCTGCACCCTGTTATGTTTGTTTAATATAAGGGTTAACAGCTCAGCTTACTGGGAGTCTGACTCACAGAGACTAAATTAACTTCTTGTCAGGCTTGGAGAGAAGTTTAGGATTTACCTGACTTGGGACCGTGGTCCTGGTCCCTCACAGGGTGAACCTGCCAACCAGACCTTCTGGGGGGTAAAGTAGGAATTTGCCAAGCAGGCTGTATAGCACTTGACTTTCACTTCTCTTTCTGCCCAACTGAAACAAAAGGTGAGAAGAGCTGTGGTTTGTCTCGTGGTTTATTTTGTTCCCATCAGTGTGTGTGGCCCAACTCTGCCATGTGCCAGGCCTAAGGCAGGCAGGGTGCAGAGGATGCAGAGTGGCTAAAGAAAGTCCTTGCTCTCTGCCCTGGGAAGCTCAAGGCAAGTAGAAAAGGCCAACTCTCCTCTTTCAACTCTGGGATCCTCCAAGTGAAGCCTTCAGAGGACATTGCCCCTCTGGGCCCAGGTCAAGGTTAAGGAGTAAGAGCCTAAAGAAAGGAAGGCTGTCTATTCTCTTCCTTCCTGACTGCTTCCTCTCCAGGAAGAGGGGAGGGAACAGTTACTTTGTCCTGCCTGCAAAAGTCTCTCTGAGGAGCCTGCTGAGACCTGCAGAGATGGGCTGATGGGAGGGTGGCCTTGCCTGTAGTGCTCTGGGGTGCGTTTCTGTTTTCTTGCGGGGAAGACATGCAGAGAGCCAGAGATATGGGGGACAGGTGACCCTAGAGGGATTCAGGTCTTGGGACCCTTGGAAATGGCACTGTGGCTCTATTTTTCATGCTGCTTGCTTTTCATGTCCCTTAACTGCCCACCTAGTCCTCAGTTATCCTTTCCAGTCCTCAGCTGGTCCCTGGACTCTCTCGAAGATCCTCTAGATCTGTCCAGAGGGAACAGAAGCTCCTCCCCTGGCTGGAGTCCCCTTTCCGTGGGCGGCGTCTGGCTTGGGTACCGGTCGTGCACCCTTGCCCATCCCCCTTAACTTGATCCCCGAAGCTCCCCAAACCGCGTTTATTTCTCATAAGATATATTTAGTAGTGAGTACTCTTCCGATCACGGTTCCCCTGCGAGGAGAGGCAAGCGGCCAGGACCCTGGAGAGGTCCACAGGAGGCCCGGAGAAGGGACCGCCCCCGCCCGCAGACTGGGATTGGGCACTCCAATGGAAATCCCTCGCGGAAGTTTGAGGTCATTGAACTTTTCCATGAGAACCCTGACCTAAATTTCTGGACCCCAGGCTGTTGACTACGCAGATGCCCGCCACCGGTAAGTCGAGCCTCTGGCTGCCCGCCCCGGCCCGTGTGCGCGCTCCCGCGGGCGTTCAGTCCCGGTCTCGCCGGCCTCCCGCCCGCTTCCTCGCCCGCCTGCAGGCGCTGCCGGTGCCTGGACAGCGATTCCTGCTTCTGTTTAGATACAGCTCTCGCCTTTCCTTCTCTTTTGTTAGTCCCAGCCTGCCCGCTCTGCGGGGCATGAGTACTAATTCTCTTTCTGATTGCCAGAAATTTCTTTTCCACTGTGTGGGCAGCAGACAGATACCCCACCCCACCCAACTGTCTCCCCTCTCGTTTATTTGTTTCGCTTTCCGTTTGTCTCCTTCACCTCCGCCCACCTTCCTCCCCCTTTCTTTCTGTGGATTCCTCCTCCCCACTTCGACTTCACCATCCCCCACCTCTGGCCCCCTTCCCCCACCTTTTGCTCTTTTAAACCGATTCAGTGATGTCTCAGGAATACTAGCATAGCCTCCTCCTTCAGCTGAGCGCAGGACTCTGCATTCATTCAAGGTAAGTCCCAGGTTCTGGGTGCCCAGGACACGGAGGCTGCTGCCCGGGTGCTGCTACCTGTTGGGGTGCATGGACCGAGGAGATTACCATCTGGCCCAGACCTGTTTCTCCTAAGCCTGCTCTTCTCTGCATGTGCTATCCTTTCCTTTGCAACTTCTGTGGCACTTGCCTGGGCTGGGGGAAGCGGTGTTTGGATATTCCAGGCTCCCAAGGGTAACATCTGGCTGGTGGTTGTGCAGCGAGGGAGGCTCGCGCGCAGCCATGGGAGTGGAGCCCGGCTCGGAGCAGGTGGGGCCTGGGGGTTTTCCTGAACCTCCCGGGAGGCTTGGCCAGTGCCTGGCACAGGGAAGTTTTGTGGGGCACCCCTCAGGGGGAGGACGTGGTGAGCAGAGGCTGCACTTTCAGAGAAGTTTTGTGGTCAAAGCTGTGTGCGGCTTTGGAGGTGCTGGGGTCTCATATGGGGTGGCCTGGTTGTCTCTGGAGCTGCTAGTGGGAACGGCCAGGTGGGTCTTTTCCTGAAGATCACTGGCATTTGAGACTTAGAGCAGAGAAGGAAAGAGAGTACCAAAAAGGAGCTGGGTGATAATCACTTGGATGATTTTGACCAGGATTAGGTCTCCCTGAGTGAGGGCAGTTGCTGGTCCTTGGTAGGAAGGGAATACCCAGTTCGCTGTGTCTTTTCGCTCCTGCAGGTGCCTGAGAGAGAATGATGGCAGGTGCCACCATCCTCCCTTACTCCCCCTTTCCCTGAGATTGCTGAGGTCGAGGTGTCCTCCTCACAATGGGGATCTGAGTGTGTGTTTGGCCACAGACCAAAGTGTGTTTGTGGGGGTCCTCTTCCTACCACGCTGTGACTGTGAGCCTGCAGAGAGCAGGTGGTTCAGGCTGACTGGGTGAGTGGGTGACCTGGATCTGGGGCTTGTCATGATTCATTCACTCTCTTCCTTTCGGAGGTCAGAGTGTTGGGACAACAATTATCCTTACTTATTCTTGGTGGTTGAGGGTCACATTATGTCATAGAGATAGCATCCCCAGATGAAAAGCTGGGAGCGAGGATAGCTTAATCCAGAGAGGAGGCTGTGAGACCTGAACCCAGAGAAGTGTTTCCATGAAAGAAAAGAGTATTTCTGATGCTCAAATACAAGCATTGATTTATTTCCATTGATATCAAAACCAGAGGAAAAAGGGGCTTCCTCTACTTGGGTGAGAATTGGAATTCATATGGGACAGAAACTTCCCATTGGCAGTTCCAAGAGGAATTTCCAATGGAAAATATAGAACTTCCTCTCCTATAAAAGTGTAGGCTTCATAGGACTGTGCAGCTATCACTACAGTCTAGAAGAAAGTGACCTTTGCTTGTTGTTTGATTGCATTCTCCGTTCTTTCACATGCTAAGTCTTAGGCCAGGGGAGGCACTTTTACCACTCTGGAGTATAAGGTAATCATATCACTTGTTATCCAAACTGGGACACTTTTCAGAGTGGACATACATTTGTAATGATTACACATAAACAACGGAGACTGCTCCTACAGGTTAGAGATGAGTGATTGTCCTGAGTGACTATGTGATCAGATGTAGGAGCAGTTCATGAAGCAACATGCTTTGCTTGTATGTCATTTGGATCTTGCTTCTTCCCTCCTAGAATGGTTTCTTCTGACGTTGATTGCAAAAGGACTTTTTATTTCACTTTGTTTTGAAAATCCACCTTCAAAATACAAATTTCTTTCTTTTGATGAATGATTTCCTTGATTTCACTAGTCCCCTGCAATGCCCGCTTCCAGAGTGGAACTTCATGCTATGTGGGGTTTACAAATTGGGAGTGATTTACATGGAGTTGTTGCCATCCCTGCCCCCTCTGTTGTGGTATTTATGAGCCTGGGGCTCCCAGGAGGCTGTCCTTCTGCCAGGATTTGTGAGTGTTGTGTTGATGGCAGCGTGATATACAGTGATCCTAATAGTCACAAAATTGAGGAATTGGATCAGCGCTATCATAGCTCCTCCTGTCCTCTGAGGCTGGGGGTATTTGTTGAACTTGAGAGAGTGGAGGGGGGAGGAAAGAAATTCTACATGTTGCCTGGGTTTAAAACTGCTAAATTAATGTTCAGGAAGCATCCTTTTGCAGGAGAATCCCTGGCTTTTGCTTTCTTGCTGTGTGAAGGGGCAATGAGGCCTTTTGGGGACATGTCAATCACGTACCTGCATCCCCCAGGCAGCCTGTGGATCTGCCAGATAGACAAATTCTTGCAGAATTTGAGAAAGTTTAGCTACCATTTGTTTGTGTTTAGTATTTTCCAGACACCATAGCGGCAATTTCCTTCCAGCCAGTTTCCAGATATTACCATCAAGAATGCTTGCCTGATCCTGTTAAGTACGTATCCCCATTTTTTAAACGAGAAGCTGAAGCTCAGAAAAGTTAAGTACTTTTCATCATTATACTGGAAGGCAGAGCTGGGATTTAATCCAGGACCAGCTGCCTCCCTCCACACAAGGCTGCCTCTGTGTGCTGTGGTTGATGAGGGTCAGTGTCTGGCTCTTAGATTTAGTCCTAGCTGCTCAGGGTCCTGGGCTGGTTCCAGAGTGAGGTGGACTGAGCAGCTGGCTTGTCCATCCTTCCTGGATTTTGATTCATGTCACCTCTGTCTTTCCTACCAGCAGTATCCTTGTTTGACGCATCAAGTTTGTGTTCCCTGTCACCTACCTGGTCACTGGACCATCACTGGAATGATTGTTGTGTGGGATCACTGTCCAGTATGCTCATGAGCCCTAGCTGGATTGATAGCATTGTCTAATGGAAAGACAGAATGTGTGTCACCATCTGATTCTTAGTCTGTCACAACTTAGTGATTGAAACCTGACTCTCAGGATCACAGTAAGTTGTCTTCAGTTGCCTCAGTGACTGACCAAGGCCTAGACTGAGAAAAGGTCTCTTCACACTTTAGCTTCCCCAGAAATAATTCTGTAGATTAGCAAGGAAATTTAACTATCCCTGCTGATACATCCACAGGTCCTGTTTCCAATGTGAAGGCAGAAATAGAGCCTTAAGCAGAAAAACTTTGGACATTATTTCCAACTACTCATCCTTCTTTTTATGTCACACACCATCCTTCTTTTTATACCTGTATCACCATAATTGGACAGACCGAGAAGAGCATGCCTGCGTGTTTGGCTCGGAGTGAAGTAGATTAGAGAGCGTCAGCCCTGGAGACTTCACTTCTACTTTGACTCAGCCGCACTGAGTAGCCATATGACATTTGACAAGCCACTTACCTACATGGGCCTCATCTAAGCTGCCCCAAAATAAAGGCTGGAAAGATGTTCCAGGTTCTTCTCAGTTCCAGTGTCTTAGATCCCATAATTTGAGATGCTTTGATTTCTGTGTCCTGCAAGTCCTAGGCAGAACCATTCCTAACCTTATGCTAACCCCTCTGTTATTTGGGATGGCAGACAATTGGGCTGGTGGATAGGAGTTTGATGGAGTGGCCATGGAAGAGGCATCCCAGGGGGGACAGAGACTGCCTCTGGTCTTCTGTGAGCAGGTCTCAGTTGAGCAAGGGTTGGGACTTGCAATTGAAGTGATTGAGATTATAGAAACAATGGGTCTACATCAGGGAGAACACCTTCCCGTTTGTGTCCATATGGCATTACTTTGAAAGATTCATTCTCTGAAATCCTAGGGTGTTTATAACTACATTGGTTACACTAAAAAATTCACCTATAAACACCAGTCTGGCACTGGGGTAAACAGAGAATGCTCCAGATTCTTGGGGTAGGATTAGTGATAGCTGCAGCAGCTGAACGAGTGTTGGAGAGAACACGTAGCCTGTGGTGGGGAGCGCATCTGTGCCTGGGTTTTTAAAACATAATTTCTGACATGGATAATAATGTAGGCTAGGGCTGAGTTGATGGACCTACCTTTTAATGGTGGTACTGTCACTGTAGTTGCAAAAATATTAAAACAGTTCTCTGTGTCTCCCTGTCCTGTGGAGCGTATCTGTGTTTATGTCTCTCTTATGTTTGTTTTGGAATTTCCTTTGCGTCATCATGATTTAAATGTGTACCTGGACTTTTCCTAAGAGGAATGGAAAAACAAGGATGAAAAGGATATGGTCTTTGCTCTCAAGAGACTAGTTTCTAGCTCTAAGTACATGTGGTATTTATTTTACCAAATTATGTGTTCTCTGGCCACGATGGAGTGGATCTGGTGTAACCCTCATTGACTTTAGGCCCACAATAAAGCCACTAACCCCTCCCAGGTATCATGTTACAGGCACAGCCCTCCATGCTTCAGAGAAGGGGCTCTAGAGCCAAAGATTGCCTGTTCCTTTCCATTCTAACGTCAATGACTATTTTATGATTTTGTCTCCTTCCCTTTCTCTATCCTCCTTTTTTTATACTTTGTCTCCCTTCTTACCCTTGACTAGTCATATAATAGAATTTTTTGTTTGCTATATTTACTGAATAGAATTTTTTATTCCTCGCTCTTAATTTCAAAAGTGATGAACAGCATTTAACATTTCTGCTTCTTAAAAGAAAAGTAAATTGAGTTACTCTTGACTTATGTAGTCCTTGATTGATGTTTTGTGAAATGTAATGATCTTAAATACAGCAAAAATTCCATCCTTTCCTGAGTGAAGGGATTCATGACAAGTGAACACATATCCAAATTCCAGCTTTTTTTTTGGTTGGTGTCAGACTCAAGGTTAATGAGCTATTCAGCACTGCAGTCTGAGAGTCCTAGGTGCATCTACCTCTGTCTCCAGGCAAGAGTGTCAGTGTGCCAAACTCAGAACCTGAGTGCTGGCTCAGACTGGCCCCTGAAGCGGGTGGAGAGGAAAAGCTTGCGGGGAAGGAGCCCCACATATGTGCCTCAGTTCGATTACTTGGTGGAAACATCTTTTAGCTTCTCCCTAATTATTCCCTCCTCGTTCCCGCCCTTCTGTCCTCCCTCTCTCCCTCCAGCCCCCTTCCCTTCCTTGTTTCCTACTTTATTTCCTCTTAC